ATTATAAAATATGTTACCCATAATGTACTTTTTTTTTAACCGATTTAAATGTCATTGAATTATTACCGATTTACTTATTTATTTTTCTGAGCAGGCAGATTTGGAACCTTTTTTCCTGACGAAATCAATTAAGGAGAAGTGACCAGAACGGAATTGGTGGGAATGGACTAGTTGACTTTGTCTGTTTGTCAATTAGAAATGACAACTTAGAATTTTCAGTCAACAAAAATCTCATTTAATGACATAATTTTTTACGCAACTTTCAATGTTTATTAACTTATTTTATTTTAAGATTTATCTAATTTAGTAATTTAAATATTTAAAAATGTATTAATCATATTTTTTATATTAATTTTTTATAAAAATTTATAAAAATTGATTTTATTTTTATTATTAATATTATAAATATATTTTCAATTAAATAATTAATAAAATTAAAAATATATATAAGAAAAATAACTTTTTTATTTTTAATGTATTTTATCTATATATATTATATAATTTAAATTTAAAATTTTTTTATTTTTATTAAAAAATAATCTTTAAATTACTTATATTATTAAATTTTTTATTTTATCAATATTTATAATATTATATATATATCTATTCATAATATAATAATAAATTTAAATTATTAAAAAAAATTGTACTATTGGGTTAGGCGGATATCAATTACCCCTTTCATTGGCAATCAAATCAACCTTTTCCCTCAGTGCGTGTTAGTACACAGATAGCAGCCATGTCCTTGTCTAATTTCATTTTGTGTGGACTTTTCGGATAAAATGGTCCCAGAATCTAGTTTTAGACATTAGCTCTAGAATCACAGACAAGTGAACTGTAAGCAGCTTGCCCTTGCCCTTGCCCTTGCCCTTGCCCTCCTTGTGCCACCTTTGTGAATAGCGAAGTGAACCAATAAAGATCTCAAGTGGTTTTTGCCTTTGCAGATATTAAAGGTTGGGGCCCTTAAGCAGTCACACAAGATGGGAATCATGGGATCCACCTTTTATGAAGTGTAAATCGGAGAAAAGAAGAGAAGTTGCCTTGATTTGCGTTATAAACTTATAATTTGGTTATCGATATATCTTTAAATGTATAAATAAGGTGACAAAATGAAAACGTGGGTGTTCAGACTTCAAAGCAACTGCAGCTTTTAGGCACCCGCTGCTGACACCTTCTTTCTCATTTTGCCAACTCACATATGCTTTTGAGGGGTAAACCGGATACCGATCTTGGAAGTTACGTGTTTAGATTTAAAACTAAAAGTTTAAAATTCAAAGTCAAGTTACCAGCCTCCCCTGGGTCCTGTTGGCTAAGATTCTGGTTTCTTAGCCTTGGGGTCTGGGGTTCAAAAGCCCTAACTCCTAAGGCTGGTGAGAAGGATGAGATCCAAATTCCAAAGATCAAAAAAAAAAAAAAAAAAAAAAAAAAATCAGAGTAAAGTTAAAAAATTAATAATAAAGACAAAAAAAAAATCTCATTTTCTCTCTCCTTGCTTGTCCAGCTGTCCGCTATGACTGGACTTCCTTCACCTTATATCTTTCTTCAACTCGGATCTTCCTGTTCACATTTCCTATTCCTCTAATTACAAATAAATTGGATATTCTAATTAAGTTAGAGAAGATTTCTAACGTTATTAAAACTTTAGAATCTCAATTTTTTGAAAAATTATGGTAGATCTAAAAAATCGAAGGAAAAAAGGAAAATATAAAGGTAATTACCTTATTTATTTTTTATCACTTAATATTTGCTTTCATTATAACTTTTGAATTAATAAAAAATTATACCGTGGAGTACTTGAGAAGGACAACCATGGCGGACTGATGCACGCAGAAGCATTTCCTTACCCATTTCAGCTTCTTTACCTTCATTCTTATTTGAGAAGATTTTAAAACCACCACAACGCCATAACCAACAAAAATCACAGTAAAAATTTTACCTTTGGGAGAAGTCGGTAGAATAAAAGTTTTTTTTTTTTTTTTGGGGGCCATCGGTGAAAGCAGAAATTGGTTGTATTCTTCCTTGAATAATACTGTACAATGATTTGATGTATATGTAAATTTACATGTAATTCTTTAGATCCTAAATTAGTAGCTAGTACTGAGCAAATAAGCAATACTACCGTTGCTACATTCTGAACGTTGCAGCTATTACTCCTTGGATCAGTCTTTGATTGTTTTGATATGGTTTCCCGATGTGATTTCCTTATCTGCTGTGATTGTTTCCTTACACATCCTCTGCAGTGATTCTTCCTTCATAATCGGGAGAAAAGTTGAAGGCTGTTTAGCTAGGGCGAGGCAGCTGAAAGAAGAAACTGGCGGAGACGAGAAAGAGGAGCATATTCAATTTTGGTATTTTTTTTGGCATATCAAAACATCTAGCAACAAAATGACAAGTACATTTAGTGAAGCTGATAAGAGTTTTTGTTTTTTTTTTTTTACTATTTATGAGTGATAAATATAAATTTTTTTATTATTTATTTAAAATTTTTTAAAATTAAAAAAATT